CCGTTGACCGCGCTTGTAGTCGATTCAGTAAATTAAAACAGGAGTAAGGAGAACGGGGCTGCCTTTCCAGGAGAGCTTGGAAATTTGGGAAAAATTGAATTCGCGCGATGCCCTTTTCCCATGTATTTCACGTTCCCATTTTATTTTATTGTTTCCCTTATTTTTCTGCAATTTCTTTAGACATTATCGCCGAGTAATTTTCACAATGATAATCGTGTGTTTTTTTTTAACAAATTAATTAAAATGAAAGGTTATGATAACGCGTGGAGAAATTTTTAAGCGTGAAGAAGGCGGTGTTTATTAAAATTCTTCATAGCCAACAAGTGGGAATAACATCGAAAACGAGCATCGCGAATCTTTTTTATATAAGAACAACATCTCGCGAAAAATTCACAAGCAGATAAAACTCGGCTGTTTACACCGTAAACGATCCTCGAGACGACGAAACGCGAATCACCCGCTTATCTTATCGAGCATTTTCATCCCAAGGAATTAGAATTGCCTTTGCCAATGGTCTCGTTCGCGAGACTCGTCGCCTAATAAATTTCGTCTCGTAAATTTTCCCCCGGATTTTTAAACGGATCCGCAATTAAACCGATATCGTTATCTAAATCGGCGACTACCTCGGGCACCGCTGTCGAATCGGCCGATTCCCGAACCTCTCGATAACAGGGCTGGACCAACCGGCGGGGACACGACGTTTGAGGCGAGGCGAGGCGAGAAATCGGCGCATAATCGGCGCCGATCCCCTTCCCACCACGAGAAATTTATCCGGAATTTATTTCCACGATCGATTCGGGAATCGTGGATCCCCTGTTTTCGAGAATGGACGAGCGAATAGTGTCGGCCGATGCCGACCGCGGCGAATCAATTTTATGCAAGTCGTTTACGAGCTCCTTACGACGATTCCCCTCGAGTCGGGCTCGTAAAACGTTATGGCCGGTAATCCGAGGTTAACCGGACAAAAAACCGAGACCAGAGATCCACCCTCGTTCTTTTCACCGTTGCGTCATCGTTGCAAAGATCGTCGCAAGCGGAAGTCTCGTGCCACCGGTTGGAACGATCGCTCGAGAGGGAGGACGATGCGAATTTCATGCCCTCTCCAAGAGCATAGGGGAGAATCGTAAAATGTTAAGCTCCGAGTTGACGAGTTTTTCCGCCCCTCCTCTCAAATTGCGTCACGATTGCGTCATCGTTCGTCGACGATGGAGGATTCTATTACGTAGTATTGAAATTTCGCGCGGCGAAGAAGGGGGATGGAGAAGTTTAATATCGAAGGGTAAGGGAGGAGGAATTCGTAACGTTGTTTTGCCAAAGACGCGTAGGGATTGTCGTAGCGTTTTTCGGGCAATAAGGAACGTCTCGAGAGTCGGGCCACAGCCGGCAACTTTCTTAAACTCTATAATGCATCCGCGAATCCTGGCGGTGTTTCGAGTCAGTTTCTCGACAAGTTTCTCGTCTTTCCAACTCGGACGGAGAAGTTTGCGAAGGTATCTCATTGGGCCTTCTTGTTTCTTCTATCGACGAAACTCTCGTGGAGGAATTGGATACGAAGAATGGCGGTGACGTTGAATGCTGTATTCGAAATGGAAATGGTTTCTTTAAACGTTTTTCTATCCCCGGCATCGTTCGTCCTCGGATATAAAATCTGTGCGGATGAATTTTTCCACGACAATTTTCACGATAATTCTTGTGCAATTTAGCAGTTTTTAGCAGGATTTTGAACGAGAGATTTTTCCACGATAGAAAATATAAAATCGCTCCAAGTCGATATTTCCATCTTAGTTTTTTCTTGACAATCGTAGACCTTGGAATAGATCCGATTTTTTTTTTATGGAACGAGCAAAAGTTTAAAATCCGTGCAGACGAATTTTTCACGATAATTTTCACGATAATTATTATCCAATTTAATAATTTTGTAACGCGGATTTTGAACGAGTGATTTTTCCACGATGGAAAATATAAAATCGCTCCAAGTCTTATTTTCTTCTTGATAATCGTAGACTTTGGAATAAATCCGATTTTTTTAAAGGAAAAGTTTAAGATCCGTGCAGACGAATTTTGAAAATTTTTACGACAATTATTCAATTTAACAATTTTATAATATATGATGCGGATGAACGAGTGATTTTTCCACGATGGAAAATATAAAATCGCTCCAAATCGATATTTTCATCTTATTTCCTTTGATAATCATAAATCTTCGAATAGATTCGATTTTTTGTTAAGGAACGAGCAAAAGTTTAACGATATTTCTAATGTTAAAATCATAAAGGTTCCCGATCA